ACCTGGTGATTGACAGCGCGCACGCCCCCTACCCAGAAATTATATATAATATATTTTATATATATATATATATATATATATATATATAAAATACATGATCTTGCACACCCATGCCACCCTGTAGCAGTATATAAGGAGTGGACCAGCAAGCTGGCTGCTGCTCCCTTAACAACTGATGACTTCACCTCATGTAAACAAAAGAATTGCCAGCAATGAGGTCTGGTATGGATTTTATGAGGAGCCCCACGTCAAAAAAGACACAATGCAGGGGTCCCCCCAAAATCCATACTAGACGCTTATCTAAGCATGCAGCCTGGCAGGCACGGGAAATGAGGGGAGGGGGGGGGGGCAGATGAGCTGCCCTCTACCCCCTGAACTATACCAGTCCACATGCCCTCAACATGGGGGAGTGCTTTTGAGGTAGGGCCCCTCCCAAAGCACTTTGTCCCCATGTTGATGGGGACAAGGGCCTCTTCCCCACAACCCTGGGCAAAGGTTGTGGGGGTCTGCGGGCGCGGCTTATCAGATTCTGGAAGCCCCCTGTAACAAGAGGACCTCCGGATCCCGCAGCCCCATGTGAATGAGTAGGGGTACATTATACTCATTCAAAAAAGTGAGTAAAAATGCAGAGTCCATATGCTAGACTACCTGCTTTGGTGTGTGTGTCCCCCCCCCCCCCCCCCCACCCCCCCCCCCCCCCCCCCCCCCCCCCAGGAACCGCCCACCTATTTTGGCTCCAACACTTTCCCAATCGGTTTCATTATGGGATAAGCTCAGACATAATTCAGCATTAGTTTCCCCTTTCTATCCACTGGCCCATATTTTCAATAATCCTAGCTTCCCACTGTGGAGGGCCTTTCACACTGCGCCACTGTGTTGAGGTTCTGGAAATACCTCAATCAAAGCAATTCTATTTCTTCCAGATATCGCATTTTCTGCATTCTCTTGTGCCTGATAAACAGGTTCAATATGGGGTTACTTTGTATAGTTACTTTGTATAGTTTGGGGTAAAATGGAGAAGCGCACTTCTCACTGTGAGCAGGATTGTGACAGGCGGAACTTCCTCCTGGTGCGCGTCTTCCGGTGGTGGCGCCGATATACCGGATATCAGGCTGATGCAGGGAGCTGCATCCTGCAGAGGCATGCTACGCGGACCACCACATTGGAACATGTCCGGAGCAGAGGCACCGGCACCAGGTGATGTCTTCACCAGCCAGACTCAGGTAGGCAGCTCAGAGGATCCTCTTCCCCTAACTGTTAGGCCCCTAGCTCCATGGGGTGTCCTCAGTCCTCCTGGTGGTTGGAGTGACAGGGCAGGGGGATGGGGTGGGGGTCTGTCTAGGAGATTCCCACACCTTACCAGGCGCTGCACTGTGGTGCGGGGGCCTGGAAAGCTGTGGTGTAGTTGGCAGCCTTTTATGTGTGTTTTGTTCTAGGTGAAAGCCAGAGAGAAGCCCAGTCTGCACCATGGGACTAAAAGAAGTGCCCCTCATGCAGGGTGATACTTAGAGACTCCTGGACTAAGGTGCTTAGCGGGTCTTGTATAGAGGGCCTTATTAAGGAGGAAGCTCCTTCCCAGGGGGACCTGGTTAAGTCAGTTAAGATGTTGATGGCCACTTTTGATTCTTTTAGGCCCTTCAGGTTTCCCCAGCGACCAGTAGGGAAGCAAGAGCTGAATTAGAGGTGGAGGATTTGTCCCTGGTTTCAGATTCCCAGGCAGACTCAGATGGGGAGGGTACCACCAACGAGCCAAGAGGCACCTCTAGGTATAAGTTATCTCTAGAGGACATGAAGGAGTTATTGGGGGCCATTTATACCACCTTGAAGATTAAAGGATAGGAAGCTCCTAATGTTGCATGATCAGATGTATCAGGGTATGGGTGAACAAAAACATAGTCTTCCCAGTTCACGAGGTTCTAGTAGAATCCGTAAAGGAGTGGCAGGACCCAGAGAGAATTTGGTCTTTGCTAAATCCCTTAAACGCAGGTTTCCTTTTTGATGAGGATTTTGTCTTCTGTGTGGAATAAGAGCCCCAAGCTTGATGCGGGGTTCTCCCAGGTAGCCAGAAAGACTGACCTAGCTTTTGAGGATATGGCTGACATCATGGACAGCAGGGCGGATTCTCTTTTTAAGAAGTCCTGGGACTCCACACTATCCAACTTAAAGCGGAGCCAGTCTCTTTGGCAAATTTTTTTTAAAAATCACCCCCCATTATTCTCTTTACAGTACTTGTACAATCAAATTAGGAGATTGTTACAAGTGTAATCATTCTTTTTACTCCAAAATCTGTCATTACTCACAGGATCCCGGCAGACAGGCAGCAGCCATTTATGATGTGGGCATCTGGAGCCCTCTCCTATTTGTTTCCAGAATTTGGTGCAGTTGACTACCCAGCATGCACCTCCAGATCTTGTGCCTGTGCAGTAATGACACTGTGGGGCGCACTGTGTTGATTACAGGTTGCCATACTAATGGCAGCGTTGGCGAAAGTTCCTGCCCCTTTGTTATGGCAACCTATCAATCAATGAATCCAGTGGTGTCCAAAACACAGCGTCTTTACTTTACCCCCTTGCAGATTCTATTTCTCAAAAATGGAGCCTAAGCCCTCCCGATCGCATCATTTCCGGTATCCAAATACCGTCAGATTTCACTATTGGGCTTCCCGAGGACCGCTGGGATAGATGATGCTGATATCCTAGGAGACCTCAGGAATCGCCTGATGAGGAAATTGCCTAGGCGGCCAGGACTGGAAGTACCGCCTGTATACAGGAATAAAAGTTATTTAAAAAAAAAAAAAAAAAAAAAAAAGAATATCTATTTATAACTGTACTGTGGGTGGGCTTTCTGATATCAGCAACATGTAAGTATTGGTGGAACTCTGCTTTAAAGCCTGCCATGGCCACTACTGTGGTAGTTCGGAACATGGAATACTAGCTCACACAGCTACAGGCCCATATTGTCGCAGGTTCCCGAAAGAAATTGTCTCTTTTCCCATCTTTTATTGCGGGGGGGTCAGTTATATTGCAGATGCCTCAGCAGAGTCAGTGAGGATGACAGCAAGGTCGGCAGCTTTGACTAACTCGGCCCATAGAGCCCTGTGGCTTAAGATCTGGCAGGGGGACGCTGCCTCCAAAGTTAAACTCTGGCATCCCATTCACAGGGAATCTTGTTTTTGGGCCCTGTCTTGAAACAGTGTTGGACTGCACTGCTGACAAGAAAAAGGCCTTTCCGCTTAAGAAAACCCCAGGCGCAGGGGAGGACGAGATTACGCCCCAAAAAGTGGGGACAAGCCAATAGACCAGAGAAGCAGAAAAGGTCCTGGGGACAGAAGGGAAGAGGCAGGGGAGGAGCAATTTTTATTTTTAATTTTTTTCCATTCTCCTGAGCAGCCCCAAAAGTCTTAATGACGGTGTTCCCGCAGTGGGAGGAAGATTGGAGGTCTTTCTCGCACTGTGGGAAGCAGTTTCCTCCACCTATATAGTGAGGAGGGTGTACCGCCTAGAATTCCTGAAACCTCCGCCACAGAAGCTGTTAGTGACGGAACTCCCAAAGTGTGCAGTGAAGGTGTCGGCTTTACTCTCTTCCTTGCAGGAGTTAGAGGAACAGAGGGTCATTGTCAGGTTCCCTCCACAAATTTCAGCAAAGACTTTTATTCCCATGTCTTTGTGGTCAGAAAGCCCTCAGGGAAGTACAGGCACATTCTGGACCTTAGAACGAGTCCAAAAAATACAAGAAGTTGTGTATGGATTCCATATTTTCAATCAGATCTCTTCTTCCCCCGAATTGCTTTCTGGCTTCAATAGATTTAATAGCCTACTTACACATCCCAATTGTGGAGCCCTTTCAGAGATTCCTCAAGTTGGCAGGGTAGGGGCCCCAGGAGAGAATACTCCACCTGCAGTTCCGATCCTTGCCCTTTGGGCTTTCCTCCTCATCCAGGATTTTCACAAAAATCATGGCCGATGCCCTGGTGTCTCTTCGTCTAAAAGAAGTCTCGATGGTGGCATACCTGGTTAGATGAACTAAAGATATCTGGAAGTCAGGTTCCCATTTTTTGTATTATTTTCAGGGGTGAAAAAAGGTTGTAAGATTTCTAGGTGCACCTTGGCTAGGTGGCTGAGACTGGCATGTAGACAGGCATATCTGGCCAAAGGGCTAGAAGTCCCAGAAGGCATTGTGGCTCATTCCACCTGGACCATGGCGGTAAAAGAGCAGGCCGTCGGATGCAAGGTCTTGCAAGCGGTGGTCCTGCCCTAGGGGTAGGTGTCCACTTATCCTCTCAAGGGTGCTGTCCTGAAAGATGGTAGGGGGAAAGAAAAGTTACCCTTACCGGTATCGCCTTTTCCAGGAGTCTTTCAGGACAGCGCCAGTTACCCACCCTTTTATCGGTCTTGCTGTTTATATGGTTGCGGTTTTTGTCTTGTTTTGTGTGTTTCTCCAGGTGACCGGAGGTGCTAAGGCATGAACTGAGGTCCTAGTGGGGAGGCCGCATTTTAATCTGGGTGGAGGTGGTGTTTCCTTAGGTGGGGAGGTGCCGCAGTCTCTCAAGGGTGCTGTCCTGAAAGACTCCCAGAAAAGGCATTACCGGTAATTGTAACTTTGCTTATCCAAAAAATGGGTATTGTGTTTGTTAAATTCATTAAAGTGTAATTTTTCTGATTATTTATGATCACTAATTTGCTCCGTTAATATCATGTGACATAAAAATTGTAACACCCACCATTTTATTCTCTGGGGACTTTGCTTTCAGAAAACCTGTAATGTTTGAGGGTTCTAAGGTTCTAAAAAAATGCCGAATTTTACATGTATGTGAGAAATGTCAGAATTGACCTGCTTTTGATGTGGTTTAAAAAACACTATTTTAGGGGAGGGGCACCCGAAGTGCTTTTTAAAGGCTGAAAGGAGTTTGTTTTTTTTTATGTAAAAAGTGATGTACAGTTCTCAACCGTATTGTTACTCGTACAGCTACATTCACCGTACTTTTTGATCATCTTATCTAGGATATGATCAGTCAGTCTCTTTGCGAGCTGTCACTGTATTCTGGCTGGGTACTAGAGAACATCCTCCCAAATAAAACCTTAATCAATGGCTCCGAATGTCAGGAGTACATTCAAGATTCTGATGGTCTCTCCTCAAAGTCAATCCCAACATCTCCAGTCCCTGCATTCAACTCCACAACAGTGACTGACAAAATACAGGTGAGCCAAGTCGATGCTTTTATCCTATTTCATGCAGGGTGGATATGTATATAACGTATCTTTGAACAATTTTCTAGGAAAAGCAGATCATCTTGGAACCCTGTAACGATGTAGAACCTTTTTTAAGGCTGCCATCTGCAAAAACGTTGGCTGTAGAAAATAAGATTCACATGTTTGAGGAGGAACAGAAGACAAAGTCTAGGGTATGTATGTATTTTATTGATTATGTTACTGTTACTTCAGAATGCCTGTCTGTCTGGAATGAATATCCTCTTTACTGTATAACTAAAGGCAAACATTTTTTGGTAGATTGGAGAGGGAAAATAAAAAAAACACCAGGGACCAACACACAGCTAATGCCTTGAAAATGTGGCATGGTATAATAATACCATTGTACTCACCATGTGTTGCCAGCTGACTCACCTTACAAAATAACAGACGGTGAGATCCGCATAACCCATAAATAATCTACTGAAAAGATAGGCTAAAAGAAGCCCAAAGGATGTTACTGTGCAGAACAAGCAGCTTAAAAAACAGAGCTTTATTTAACATCAAAAACATACAGAGACAATAAAGAGCATAAATGTTACCCGTCACCATATTAAATAAAATAAAAAGACACCGTTGTCTAGTCATCATAGGCAGCTGTACAGCCACCACACACAGCCACACACTATGAAGGTAACCTACTGCAAGGCCAAAGAGTGATGAGCCAATTTGTATTGTTCATAGGGAGCAGTAGGCACTGACTTAATCTTTCATATTGAATATAGGAGAATATCTGTGAAAATTGTCTGCCTTAGTCAGTACTCCCTGTTGTCTGCACAACAGATGGTGGTGCAGTAGATATAATAACCTGCATAAATAAGTAGATGTATAGATTCCAACAGACCAGGCCAACCAGAACAACAATGAATAGAGAACACTCTAGAGTGTTGGATCCAGTTCAGGTGATATAATGAATCCACATCGGGATATTGCAATTCTAAACCTTATGTCCAAATTGACACTCAAGAAACCCATAAGTGAGCTCACCCAACCGAGTTCCAGACATCCACTGTCAAGTTCAGCAAAGTTTAGACCTTGTAGCGTCTCCGCATTCCACATGTAACACTAGCGGGGACCGTCCTCTGTAACGGGGTCGCGTATGTATATCCAGTTGTAGGAGGTCTTGGTGACGGGCCATGACACAGTGTACACTGGCTGACAATGCTGCCGTATGTGATGATGTCACGTCAAAGACGTGATGACATAATGTCCCAACATGTTATGCCCAATCAGCTCGGGCTTCTTCAGAGATAGGAGGGGTCTGTTTAACCACTTGCCCTCCGGAGGATTTACCCCCCCCCCCCCACTAACCAGTCCCCATTGAGGTACCCCTTATCTGTTGGTAATAATGCCTAAGAAACTGAATAAAAGTTATTGGACTGGGCAAATTACAACAGCTCCAGCAAAAATTCATTATGTGCGCCAAAGGTGGGGAATTCTTGCTCAAGGAAAAAGGAAACCCCTTTGAGGCTCCTTTCGTGAAGAATCGAGGTATATAGAGATTGTACATTGATGCCCACCAAAAGGGCCTCAGGGGGGGACCCTAAGGTGTGATATCTTCCATAGTACATCAGTTGTATCTAAAAACTAGCACTTTTTATCAAGGAATCAATATATTTCCCAGTCCTTTTCTAGGAAGCCTTTAATGGCAGAGAACAATAGGTCTGCCTGGGGGGTTTTCTAAAGATTATGTAGCTTGGGTATAGTTTAGATGGGATCATTATATTCATTGACCCAAAGATATATTCCTTCTCCTTGTTAGATAGCAGCCCTACTTTCTGTGCTAGAGAAAATGTGTTATTTAAGGCTTATACAAGGGCAGGAAATGGATTTGAAAGAACCTTATTATAGGTGGAACTCTCTCTAAGCTTCCTAACTGCTTCTTTTTTATAGAACTCCTTAGACATCAAGACGACATTGCCCCCTTTGTTAATTTTCTTACTCACTAGGTTTAGGTGCTTTTTCTAGTTCATTTAAAGCAACTCTCTCTGTCCCTGCCAGATCCAATCGATCTTATGTAGATCTTCTTTAACCAAGTCTAGGAACACCTTAATCAAGGGGGCATGTTTTAGATTTGATTATTAAATCACACTTTCTCCTCTACTCAGGTAGCTAAGGACCTTCATCTTCCCATTCTCTGGTAGTCTCATTGAGTAAGGACAACAGCATGTTCAACGCTTCTTGCTCAGTTTTATCATCCAAGGACACAACTTTTGAAGAATGTCTCTCACTTCTTCTCATGGTCCCTGTCTTCCTTTGATGCCACAATCGAAACAATGCTTTGCGTAAGAACAGGCTGATGTCCTTATTTACCTCAGATTCATCCGTGGTAGGCACCGGTGAGAAAGATAAGCCTCCTCTCAAGAACCTTATATGGCTCTCAGTAAGTTGAAAATCCGATAGATTCACTATTTTGTATCTCTACCAGGGAGGAATTACCCTCATTAATCCAACCACTTTCCATCATTTTCCACTGCGTGTCCTCCCCTGTTTTGGAATCCTTCCTGTAGCTCCTCCTTTTTCTTTGGTTTTTTTTCTTTGGTTGCTTTTTTCCTTCTTCTTAACAGCTATGTCTCTCATTTCTACCTCCTCTAAAAAAGTCAGATTTAATAGCACCTTCACTCTCACTTACGGAAGATGACTGGGTATTCTTCGATTTTAGTCCGAGACCTAAATGTAGCATGTCTGGACCTACTACGTCCTTGGGGGGCTGTAAGGTCAAAGACATCTCCCCTTTACCAGTCTTCCAGGTTTTGTCTGAATTTTTGTTTAATATTTTTTAAATTCCTTTGGCCTTTCTCTATTTCCTTCTTAAGTGACTCATTAAGCCTTTCAAATTTATAATCTTCTTTTACCCCTGGTTCACATCTGTGCGGATGGTGCCATTGCGGATCCACACAAAAATCCGTGCAGCCGCACCACCCGCACAGAGGAATGCGGACCCGCAGGCAGGTGCCATTAATTCTAATGGCACGCCGCCCGCACTGGAAATCGCAAACGTACTTTGAACCAAGGTTCTCATGCAGGCTGCATTTTCCGAAGAAGTGCAGGGACTTCGTCCCTGCGTGTCCTGGGGCACAGGAGTCCGTGCAAAACGCGTCCCGCAGGAACACGGAGATGTGAACCTAGCCTTAGGGGTTCTAATGTTTTAATACTCTCATCCAACCTGAATCTCTTTAACTGTAATTTCTCTTCTTCAATAATTAACTTCATTACAGACATCGCATGTTCAGTACAATGTCCCTTCCACTTCTCTAGAAATCTGTCTGTCTGAAGATGGTCAGCCGGAATAACTTTATCTTTCAAGCCGCTGGTAATAACGCCATATTTTACCATTGGACTCCAGTAAAGAGATGTCCCATTTTCTATTTAGAAATGTAACATTTCTTGTGATGTTTTAAATAATTTCTTAATCTGTTTACCTCCAGTTTCTACTTGCCCATAGTCACAAGAGAAGGTTGTCCAAATTTCAGAGTCAATATTTCAAGTCTATAGGCCATTTAGTATTCTTGTAGATAATCCAAAATAAATAACTACTCGCTTTGCACTTAAACCAGTTAAACAATGTTATATGGGGAACAGGAAACAGGATGCTCATGTATATATTTACATTATTATTGTATTAAACTTTGGGTCCAGCGTCATTGGCTCACTGCTGTCAATCATAGCTAGTGAGCCCATGAGAAGAAAGCTGGGGTGGGGCTGAGCTGCAGCTCCATGTGTGAATGGACACACGGAGCAGTGGGTGCCCCCATAGCAAGATGCTTGCTGTGGGGGCACCTGATAGGAGGGAGGGACCAGGAGCACCGGTGGGGGACCCGAGAAGTGGAGGATCAGGGCTGCTCTGTGCAAAACCACTGCAGAGCAAGCAAGTATGACATGTTTGTTATTTAAAAATAAATTAATTAAGCCTTTAGTATCACTTTAAATGAGGCAAATCACTAAATAAACAGATCTAACAAAACAATTCTGTCATATATCAATATAGACTATTCCAGATTAGGTTCTACTTTAACGTGTCTGATAGATCACAACATTTTTATCTAGGTTGATGGAGCTTGATGTAACTGGTCTTTTTCATCTGTTCATTGAGGCACATGGCGCATCTACAAGCCCCATTCCTAGGAGGATTTACATAGGGAAAACAGAGAGGCATTGCTTTTCTGTTGTGTGCTATACCCTTCTCTGCACCGGAAGAGAGAACTTAGCTGCTGTCTCAAGAGCTAGAATGTTCTTAATTGTGTTGAGCATATACACACAACAAGGCTGCTGTGACCATGCCATAATATTTCTAAATATCAATTTTGTTTTTTTAAATATACATTACTAGAAAAGTCCAATGTGATTCCAAAATATATTTTAGATATTCTAATGTACTAAATTATATCTTACATCTAAGGAACAGCACAGGAGATGCGTTTATAATGCAAAATTGCACTTTCAGCAAATGTTTTATGGGAAATGAAAATGCTGTGCTGAGACCAATATGTGGGCTGCCATCACTGGCTTCATTTTGAAAATACTGTTTACCAGGCTTTCAATATATTGACGTCTCAGACAACCAACTAACATTTTCAGAAGGGGGTCATGCAAGTACAGAGTTCAGCTTTCACCCTGTCTCCAGCATGCCACTTTGGGCCTCTTTGATGGTTGACCTATAGAGAGATGTGGATGGGGCTTGTCAAAGCCTAACTTTGTAAGCTGATGCCAGTATTTGGTTAATTGAGTTACTTTATGCAAAGGTAACTGCAGATGTCTGCTCTGAAATCCAAGTAACAATATATTTTTGCTTACTTAGTGCATCTGTGTAACATAGCAAGACATTCAGTTAAACGTGTTACCTTTCATTCTCTTCAAAATATCAGGTACAGTCTGGGAGCTTTCATACCTAGGTGTACTCTGTAGGCAGATTACAGAAAGCTATGGGACAAGGGATTGTGGGGACATTTTTGTTAAATTAAAGCAGCTCATTTCCAAGAAATTAAACACAGCCAGCATAATATTAACATTATTTAAAGTATCTTGCGAGCCAAAAAACAAAAGGTCACCCTAATATACAACATAAAATGTATATCCTCTATATGGTGGGATCGCAAACATCTGACCCATAACTACCAATGTGTAAAAAATTGTGAATATAACCCTATAATGTTGCGCTCCCCAAAACATATATATATTCACTAATCTATGTCCTGAGAACATATGCAAAAAAGTGAAAAAATTATATAATGAATACCTTAACCAAATAACATATAAAATTAATTTTTAAAAAAATGTCTGTGATTATACTAAAATAAAATTATGTGATTAAAGAGTACCTAAATTAATATTACTTCAAAAAAAGAAATATATACAAATGATATAAATAAGTATAAATAAATGAATTAATTGATATATCTGTGAAAACAGTGTCCCATATAAACAAAAGTGACTTTGTGCTTTAATTAATCTTCAATCCATGATTGCATGTAAATCCGTGACTGATTGTGAATCCTCCCATTAGTGCAGATGTACGCTCACCTCCTTATCTGCCTATAATTAGGCTATATGCGCTTTCGGTTCTCCTTCTATGGAACCTGCTTGATTAAGACTCTTTCTTTTGGAATACTGGATATCCGTTGTTGCTGATATATGCTCTGGGATTGATCCCTGCTCCAGAGGATTGAACTCCTCTATACTCTCATCTCCATACGACTCTCCACATAGGAAAAAGATCTATACATGGTGTTTTATCCTTTTTAAAGATTGGCTTTATTGACTCCAAGTATTACACTCACATGTGTTGTATTCAAATAAAAGCGTATCACAATGTAGACCGAGTCCTCCGCTGACTGTAAGAGGCATGCACCCGTGGTCCGGCAAACGAACTGACTCCCTCCGAGTGACGTTGCAGTCCCACCCCTACGCGTTACGCCACTGGTCACGTGGCTTCATCAGTGGGATTTGATTCAATCAAATCCCCCTGATGAAGCCACGTGACCAGTGGCGTAACGCGTAGGGGTGGGACTGCAACGTCACTCGGAGGGAGTCAGTTCGTTTGCCGGACCACGGGTGCATGCCTCTTACAGTCAGCGGAGGACTCGGTCTACATTGTGATACGCTTTTATTTGAATACAACACATGTGAGTGTAATACTTGGAGTCAATAAAGCCAATCTTTAAAAAGGATAAAACACCATGTATAGATCTTTTTCCTATGTGGAGAGTCGTATGGAGATGAGAGTATAGAGGAGTTCAATCCTCTGGAGCAGGGATCAATCCCAGAGCATATATCAGCAACAACGGATATCCAGTATTCCAAAAGAAAGAGTCTTAATCAAGCAGGTTCCATAGAAGGAGAACCGAAAGCGCATATAGCCTAATTATAGGCAGATAAGGAGGTGAGCGTACATCTGCACTAATGGGAGGATTCACAATCAGTCACGGATTTACATGCAATCATGGATTGAAGATTAATTAAAGCACAAAGTCACTTTTGTTTATATGGGACACTGTTTTCACAGATATATCAATTAATTCATTTTATTTATACTTCTTTATATCATTTGTATATATTTCTTTTTTTGAAGTAATATTAATTTAGGTACTCTTTAATCACATAATTTTATTTTAGTATAATCACGGACATTTTTTTAAAAATTAATTAAGTTAATTTTATGTTACTTGGTTAAGGTATTCATTATATAATTTTTTCACTTTTTTGCATATGTTCTCAGGACATAGATTAGTGAATATATATATGTTTTGGGAGCGCAACATTATAGGGTTATATTCATAATATTAACATTAATAATAGTTTTCCATCCTGCCACCTGAACTGCAGATCTTGGATCTATGGCACTGCCAAAGTACAGGTGTTAGACAAAAAAAAAATGGAAACGGTACAAGATTTGCAGGTGTGAAAATGACATTTTTTGTGTTGAAAGCGGAAGTGATGTAACACACTTTTTCTTCCGCTGTGTGATGAGACACCTAGCTAACAGGTGGGAAGCCTCACTTTCATCATTCACTGTATTCACTGCTAGTGTTACAGAGTCATGTCAGAGCTTACTGAGCTTCATAGGTCTGAGATTGAGCTCTACAGTCACTTTTGCAGCAGTTGTTTTATTCACAATGTTCTTTTGTCTCTTTCGGTCAGTTGACCATGTCAACCGCACTTAAGCTCATCAAACAACATTTTTCCAGAAACAGTATATGCCATCTTAACCTTTTGATAATGTACCTTGCGAAATGGCAAATAAATTGGCAACTTCAGTCAAAGAGGCACCAAATAAGCGGGAACCAACAATTTGCCCTCTTTGAAGCTCAGTAAGCTCTGACATGACTCCGTATTACTAGCAGCGTACGCAGTGAATGACGAAAGTGAGGCTTCCCACCTGTTAGCTAGGTGTCTCATCACACAGTGGAAGCAAAAGAATGTTACATCACTTCTGCTTTTTCAACATAAAACACGTCATCACTTTCACACCTGCAAATCATGTAGTGTTTACGTTTTCTAACACCGTTTACAATTATAACCCCTGTATCTTTTGCATCCATGACATGTCTGTGTTGAATGCTCTGTTCCCTGCTAAGTGCTATGGTTCCATCTGCCGGCTGCTACCTCACTAGCGTCTCTTGTAATGATAAAGAGCTGGTGTCACAGAGGGGGACCAGGTATCTGCAACTTCCAGAAGTTTGTTGGAATACGGAAGATTCTTTGTCCAGTGGTAGCTCCTTGAGAAGAATTAGAACTTCTTTCAGCTTTTTTTAGCACGCCTGTATCCCAGCTGGGAAAAGTATATCCCAATGGGGACTCTTGGTCTGACAAAGAGGGGATTTTTCCTTACCTTGAGGAGATTTCCTCTTGCTTCTTGTTGCTTTTCTAGGATAGACAGCAAAAAAAAGAAAACTTGACAGTGGTTGAACCCTTCCTCAGTCTGTCCAAAAAAATATATAAAAGTCTTGGTTAGAGATACACTTTTTACTCTACTTTTTTCAGGAAGAACTGAATGCCCGCTTGGATTATGCTAATCGGTACAACAGGTCATTGGCAGAAAAGGCCGCAGAGCAGTTCAAACGTTTTGATGAGATGTTGGAATTAAAACAAAGACAAGAAAAACAAGAACTGGAGGAACAGCTTGAGAAGGAGTGAGAAAACACAGAACAATCATCCAGTTCATTCAATGCCTTCTAATGGCTTGTTTGCTTCATGATATTGGTCTTCTTTTTTTTCTTTTTAGCTCAAAGGAGGCCTTGGAACGACAAGAGAAGTTAAAGGAGGAACATCGCCACAGGGCAAAGGTCAGATGATATTTAAGATTGTCACATGCTTGTGCGCTTCAAGTACAGAACGGTTTGCCTGGGATTGATAATGGATATGAGGAATTTGTGCTGATGTTGTGAAGAATTGTAGGTTTAGTAGGGAAGAATATTGCCTTAGAGCTTCTGTATAACCAGGCTCACCCTCTATTTATTGAGAGCCCTCGTGTGTAGAAGAAAAAAGTGCCAGACAGCTCAAATCGATTAGGCTGTAAGTTGTCCAAAATGTTATTGTAATTTGAATAGCCACTGCATTTTGGGATGGGTGGGGTGTGGTACCAGAATCTCCTTGTTCAGGGCTTGGATATACAGGAGAGTGGTTGACTTGGCAGTGTAAAGTGTGCCTGCTGCAGCAAAACATTCATACCTTTCTGCTTTTCTGTTAAAGAAGTTTCCAAATACATAAATATTATCGCAGCAATCCAGTGTGTGGGGCCTATATTGATCCATTGAATTTTTAGACCAATTTAGATGTTGATCTGGATTGCTTCTTTGATAATTTTTTTTTTATATAATTTTTTTTTTTTTTCATTCCACTGTGGTGCAGGCAACATGAGAGTTGCAATGCTGTTCTGAATTCAGGTTCATCGCCTGCATTAGGAGGACTTCTCTGGCAGGCACAACAGGTTTTTGTAGGGGGAATAACAGAAGACTGAAGGTGCAAATGCAGTGATAATCAAGTGGGGCAGCACATGTATTTCCTAAGAGGTCTAGTTGTACTTTACATTGGCACTTCAATAACAAAATTGTGGGCAGGTATTGAACATTCTTCTACAGCAGCTTCTCTCCCAAACTTAAAGCCCTAAAGATGGAGATTCTTACAATAAAAGACAGTCATTGGCACCTAAATGCCTCATCAATTCCTCCGTAAAGCGGATCCTCACCCTCAGGAAAGACTTCTCTGCTCTCTGCCCCCCTCCTCCCCGCTGCCAGAATAGAGATGCCTTTTTTTTTGTCTTTTCATTAAAAAAGTGCAGCCCCGCCTGTCGCAAACTTGCGCATCAGAGATGGACGCGGTGCAACCATTTTGTAGGCATCTCCATCTTCCTCCTTATTATCATTCCCCCCCCCCCCCCCCCCTCCCTTCCTGAGAGGCACAGTGACAGATGTGTGTGTACTGGTTATGGGTCAATGGCAGGGCAATGCATCCCTAGTTTGGTGCCCAGCGGTCTGTGGAAGTTGTAGCCTTTCTCACCTAAGCCAAGATAAGGGCAGCTTTTCCCAGAGAGCCAGAGTCTCTCTGTCCAAGAACCTGTGTAATCTCACACCTTGTAAGGAGATAAGGCAGCTCTCCCAGGAATTGAAAGAGTTTTTAACCTCATAAAACCTAGCTCAGCGTAGGTGACAGAATTAGACAAACACTTCTCAAATCTAGTTTTCCACTATGTCTCATATCTTGGAATATGAGAGACGTAAATAAAAACCAGCCATCCCGTCAGATTGGCGAGGAGCAGGAGAAAGGTTTGATGGGTCATTCAAATTATCCCGGACCATCAGGGGAGCCAAAACATAGAACTCGTTAACCGTGCAACACATAACTTCATAATTCATATTTAGATAATCCTCAGACTTGTCTCCATAATAATATACCTGCGGGTAGATTGTCGCTCGTGCAGCTGAGAAGTTATAGACCAGAATATGAATTATGAAAGATGTTGGTTCCAATTTAGGGTTCCCGCCTGACGATCCCTCCCTAAACAGAGTATTGGTCAGTTACTCAGAGCCACCCCCCTGCTGGGACATTTTAAAAACAGACTAGCAGGCCTAAGTAAGTTAAGTTAAAGACTTCTCCCATTCTAATATCAATACCACCTGGGGAGACCCTTTCGCTCTGCAACTTGGATCTGCTTACAAGCCAAGGCGTACTGGAAAGTAACTTAACTCTTTAACTTCCTTCCTATTATCTCTTTGCTGTGCTATGGTTCTTTATATATGTATATATATTTTAGTTACATCTTTTTCTGTAAATATTTTTATTGCACCCGTTTGACCTTTTAGTAATAAATCTTTCCTTCTGAAAGTGTTGAACTGTTTCTATAAGCTCTCAATTGCAATTTACGAATCCCAGCCTTTGAAGAGACGCTACTGTTTGTTTAAACCTCTGTATAACCGGCCTGCGGACCGTTTTATACAGACGATTATTTCAATCATTCTAGTGTTATAACCGATAACGTGAGTTTCCTCTTTCTCTGTACAAAAAGAAGGTGGTGGCAGTGTGATAGGGTTAGTTGCGTAACTAACCCAACCCAGTAACAATCGCTCAGATCGCAGGTACATAGATTATAGTCCATTAGCTGGAAAATCTTGTGCAGGGTGTGGCTGGGCGTGGTATTGTTACGCATGTGACATAGCGGTTTTAGATCGGCCAGTCCTTCGGTCACGAGTTTGGTGAGAAGGTCTGGGGTCTGACGCCGCAATCGTGACATATTGGACATCGCGATTGTGAGATTGTCGCATGTTGGTGGCGGCGATCTTGCGATCCATGACACCGCCCACCTTGTACGTCATTTGCCTAGGTCTCCTTGGGTATGCACATCACATGTCCCAGGAGGCATATCACTTTTTTCAGGAAGGGGGCAGGCCTAGGACCACAGCATCAGGAAGCACGCCGGATTAACCAGGAAGTGCCAGTGGGCCTCCTGATGTCATAATCAACGTGACGGCACAGGTGGAATACAAGAGAATCTCAACAGGACAACGCTGGATCCTCTAGTTGATGAATGTGCCACCCAGACCACCCAGTAAGCAGCGGGGAGAGGCAGTTGAAGGTTTTAATTTGTGCTTAAAGTGACTCTATTCTCAAACTGAAAAAAGGAAAATAAAAATTGCAAGGCTGGCACTATAAGACCTACACATACCTTCCCTGCTGTATTACTGCACCAGAGCATGCAGAAAGTTCTGTGAAAGTTTAGCCTCTGCAAGTTAAAACTTCTATTAGGCTAATTCTAAATTCCAAAGCCTCTACTTCCCATGACAGCTGTACCACAAGGAATGTAGTTTAGTGCCAAGAGGGAGCTAGGTTGATCTCAACTCTTTGAGAAGTTAAAGAGGTTGTAAACCTCAGATGTGAAATATGAACAAAGCATATCCCTCTATAAGGTGTACTTGTCTCTGTCCAGAGTACTGCCATTTCTGTCTGCTGCTTTGTTCCTCTGCTGTCCACATGAATCACTTTTGACAGGTTTCCGAACACAAAAAAAAATAATGGTAATGGGGAGGGATCTGCAGCAGATTGACAGCCTCAGCTTTCTTCCTGTGAGCCGTGTGGAGGGGGGGTGTCTCTTCCCTCCATTCAGCTCATAAAGTCCTCACTGAGTACTGCAGATTGAATTTCATTACTTTTTAAAAATAAAAAGATGTAGAGCTGAAATTCTCAAACAAGTTGTATAAATTCTGCAATTTGAATGGATGTAGATAAGAGAGGACTGTAGATAAACGGGTACAATTTATGCAAGAGGATTTGTTTCATCTCTGCATATCACCCAAGGCCAGTCACTTCACTGGGTATTTGAATATATGAAAGGGTTTACAACCACTTTAAGGCCCTATTTACAGCCGGGTCTTGGGATCTGCTATAGCCTTAAAAATCTTTTTTTAATCAGGTTTACATTAATTCAAAATAAACACTTCAAAACAGCGCTTGCACTTATCAAGAATCAATAAATGATAAATAAATTGATGGTAAATGTCTAATAAAAGTCCTAATAGATAGTGTTCTGAATGCTTATTCATCCATGTTTTTCTGTGAAATAAGTAAATAAGTGCTCCGTTCCAGTGTGCCCAAAACAAAATAATCTGCACTCACTGGATCAATTTGACCCCTTGTTTACACAAGGAAGTAAAAAAAAATCACTTTTGGGTGAAACCATCAATTGAGCCCAAAGTGTAAGGAAGCTAGGGACATCATACAGCCAGTAGGATTGCCCAAAATTGTTGTATTCGATACTTCTTCAGCCGATCCCTCTTTTTCCTCTATTTCAGTGGTTCTCAACCTGTGGGTCGCGACCCCTTTGGGGGTCGAACGACACTTTCACAGGGGTCCCCCCAAGACCATCAGAAAACACATATTTCTGATGTGTAAAGAGCAGCTACTGTGTAGAAAGCAGCTACTCTGTTAAAAGCAGCTACTGTGTTGAAAGCAGCAGTATTGGAGGTAAAACGACACTCATGAATTATAATTACTGGGTAAATAATTTTATGTTTGGGGGTCACCACAGCATGAGGAACTGTATTAAAGGGTCACAGCATTAGGAAGGTTGAGAACCACTGCTCTATTTGGTCCTCTGAGCCTTTGTACACTCATGGCAGCAATATTAAAAGGAAAGGAGAAGCCTCCCGCAGTGTAAAAAGTGCTTTATTTACTTTGAAGGTCACTAAAATTGCCATCTAAACGATGTATAGCATTCACTGTATAACAACCAGGAAGTGCTGATGACTCCCCAGCATGTATTATTTATTTATTGATTGATTCCTGATAAGTGCAAGAGCTGTTTTGAGGTTTGTTTTAATTTGACACGATTGGTGTTGATTACAGCACCTGTACATGTTCATTAATTTTTTGGTTAACATAGGCTTGGGTGTTTATTTCATTTCGCTTTAATCTAAGGTTTAGATTTGGTTTGAGAGATGGGTTTAGATCTCTGATGGCCATACACATGACAGTTTTTAGTGGTAATTTCTATATTGCTTACCCACCTTTTTGATTGCAAAATTGATCACACATACCACAACCACCTACCAGCAATTTTTTTTTTTGTTTTTCCTCACAGTGCCAATAGAAACAGTTGATGATAAGCTACTTTGATTAAAGTGGTTCCAAAGCCTAATGTTTTTTTGTTAATGCTTCTCATGCATGAACGTAAAAAAACTTTCTGTGACCCCCCCCCCCCCCCCACCCCTCATACTCACCTGAGCCCAATCTGGATCCAGCACTGTGCATGAGAGCAGCGGTTCTCCCAGCTCTGTCCCTCATCACAGGGCAG